TTTCTTTCTTTCTTTTCTTTCTTCTTTCTTTCTTTCTCTCTTTCTCTTTCTTTTTCCTTTCTTTCTCTTTCTTTTTTCTTTCTTTCTTTTCTTTCTTGCTTTCTTTTTTCATTTCCTTTCACCTCCCTTCCCCTCCCGTCCCATGCCCTCTCCTGCTCTGTCTCTCTTTGCCTGTCTCTCTCTCTCACTCTCTCTCTCTCTCTCTCTCTCTCTCTCTCTCTCTCTCTCTCTCCCCTTGCCTCCTAGATGAGTTGAGCAGTTTCACTTTGTCATGAACTTCTGCCATGATGCCAGCTGATCTTGGACAGAAGCATAAAACCAAATCAACCTCTCCTATTTCTATTGTAGATGTCGGGAACTCTGTCCTGGAGACAAAAAGCTGATTAATATGCCATCTTTCCGCTTGACTGCCTCAATATATTTGGCATCATTTCTAGCTAGAAGTTTCAAGAAACTGGGTTTTGTAAAACAATGGGGTTTTCACAGAACATGAAGTTATTTTAAGATGAAGTCACAGTTTAAATCCTTTTATTTCACAAAGAACGGATGACACGTTAATCACAGTGAGCAAGTGCTGACCTGGTGCCAATGCCCCACCAAGTGTGCTTTCTTCTCCAGTTTCTATCTGTAGATGTCCCTTCCCTGGAAAGAACTAAGTGAACTTCAATCCCTTTGTGAGAATGTCCTGGCATCTTTAAAAAATGATGGATGTCTCTCAGCTCTTTTGAAAGTGCTTCCTGATAGTACAATTGTCAGCTCCTTCTGTTCATATATGAGCTCTCAATTTGTATTTGAGAGGTCTTTCCATTCTGATTGTAGGATGTAGGAATAATCTAAAGTTACAGGTAGTATGTATTACGATGCTATGAAGTGGGGAGAAAACAAATGGGTAACATGGTCCATGCCATCTAAATACCTGTCCCCTCAAGTGCTTGAGTATTCCGTGGAGACAGAAGTTTAAGAAAGTAAATGCATGAGATTGGGAAGCACATAGCAAATACAAAATTCCTAAATGATCCATCGATTCATTTAAATTGAAGATCACCCATGGCCCCGATTACAGGAGCAAGTTAAAAGAATGACAGGCTCGGCTCCCCAGGCCACTTCGCCCCACCCAGTCCCTCACAGCTCATCTGGGTCCAGACCCAAAGCAGGGAGGATCCCTGATTCTGGCTGCTGCCAGAACACACTATATGACCCAGGCTCAGTCAGCCTTTCTCAGAAAAAGAGAACTGTTCTTGTAAATGCTGTTCTTTCACAAATGGCAGCAGTTATAGTTCAACAACATAATTCACTGACACACATTCTACCTGTGGGACTTGGAAATAATTGAGAGTGAGACCTTTTCTGAAGGAAAGACCATTTCAGCAGAAGTGAGTATACAGAAAATAAGCCCATTTCAACTAAGCATTGTCAGTTATGGACAAATTGAGTTTTTAATAACGGGATCTACAATCCGGACATTGTCATTTTCTTTTTCCTCTAAGTGGTGCTATTGCTTGTACTTGAAAGAAATGAAACCAAGTTTCTTTGAGAAAGTTCACTAAATCATATATTTCAAAAATTTTGAAAAATCTGGATTATTTGCCATGATTTTGCTAGGTTTTGCCTAAACGTCTGATAGCTCAAGAACCTCTCACGTAATGAAGATTCTGACTTCTCTGGACAGACATTCTGCTGTTAGCCTCAATTTTCAGATGGACAGGTGGAGAAGAGAGACAGTCGAAGGCTTGACCTGAAGCCCAGAGGGGTTTGACCCAGCTTGGGGATCAAGAAAATGATAAATGATTCAGTCACTTCCCTTCCTTACTTCCACCTTTGAGCCTCAAGCTTTTCTTCATTTAAATGTGACAGTATTACCTGTATATTACTTATATAACTTTGATGTTTCCTGCGTACTTGGTTGCCTATAAGTGATAGAGGTGACTGTCACTGCTGTCACTCAGGGCTTGACTCCATCAGTGTTCTTATCTTCAAGGTAGAAGTGCTGGCCTATTTCCCTAGATAGACTCAGAAGTAGTAAACAAACTAATTTTGCAAATTATTTGGAGTGTCTGTAGAAGCACTGGAGCCATCAGTGGAATATATAGACCGTACAATAGTGATAAGATTGATAGGAGGTCAAGAATAAATACATGACTGCAATGAATGGACATGGAGGTTAGAGATATTGTCCGGAAAGAAAAATCACTAACCAAGTTTGAGACTTTCAACCTCGTGTCATTGCACATGTTATCCGTAACTGAAGCGATTAACCCGTGCAAATGTGTAGATGTGTAAAACAAGCTTCATTTCTAAAGACAAAAGAATCATTTCCTTATGGGAAAGTGGATCAGACATGTGCTGAATTTTGCTGCTCGCTTTGGTTTGGCTTTGTTTCAAAACAACCCTCTCAGGTGAGAAACGTACAAGCATCTTTGCAGCATTATTTTGTGTCACTTCTGGGCTACTTCAGGTTTGGGTAGTGGAATGCAGCAGCCTGTGAAGCCTTGGAGCTTCACTGATGTACAGGAAAGATGAATGTGTTTGTCAGTGAGGGGGCTAAGTGTTTAACTTGCTCTCTGTCACATATTCCAATCTTAATACCGAAACAGTGACT